AAAAAAAAAAAAAAAGAATATGCCGCAATTTGTGTATCCATTCTTCCATTGATGAGCATTTGGATCATTTCCAGTTTGGACCTATGGTGAATAAAGCTACTGTGAGTGTTGTTGTGTTTTACGGCCCTGTGCTTTCGTTTCCCTTGGTTAGATACCTAGGAATAAAATGGCTGGGCCATAGAGAAGGTGTCTGCTTCATCGAAATTAGTATCAATGGGCGCCTGGGTGGCTCAGTCGGTTGGGCGACTGCCTTTGGCTCAGGTCATGATCCCAGGGTCCTGGGATCGAGCCCCACATCAGGCTCCCTGCTCCCCGGAGAGCCTGCTTCTCCCTCTCCTGCTCCCCCTGCTTGTGTTCCTGCTCTCGCTATCTCTCTGTGAAATAAATAAAATCTTAAAAAAAAAAAAAGAAAGAAATTAGTATCACTATTCATGGTTTGGATACAAGAAAACAGATTTTTGGTAACAAAAATGAAGCAGTGACAGTCTTTCTGTACTCGTTTTCCTGATTCCGTCCATTAATTTCTTTTTAAAAAGATTTTATTTATTTATTTGAGAGCGAGAGTGAGAGATCACGAGCGGGGCGAGGGGTAGAGGGAGAAGCAGGCTCCCCGCGGAGCAGGGAGCCCGATGCAGGACTCAATCCCAGGACCCCAGGATCGTGACCTGAGCCATAGGCAGACGCTTAACCGACTGAGCCACCCAGGCGCCCCCATTAGAGTAATCTCTTAAAGAAATAGAGTGCCATATGCATGGCTAATTGAATCAGCCGTAGAGAAAGCTGGAGGGTCACAAAGCACGGAGAACCGAACTAACACATGCACATAAACACATTCTCCTATCAGTTTGTACGCGCACCAGCCCATGTCTTTAAAGCTGGTCTTGCCTGGCATGCGGATCGGACATAGTGTCCACACGCACAAGTTCCCTATGAAAGAAAATATTTTAAAAGGGAAATTTGCTCTGTAATGAAGCCCTGACTGACATGACAACTGCAGGCAGTGAGAAGAATGTGGAATATGCAGGACCAGGGCAATCAGATCCTTCTGTGGTGTCTGTTCTGAGGGTTTGAAAAAGTCTTATTCCCCTGCCCAGTCCGCAGCTCCCCCGAGGCCCGGGCACAGAGATCTGCCCCACGGTCAGCTGCCCGCCCCCTTCAGAAGGGACTTCCTGAGTACCAGCTGCTCCCCACTTGAGGGCCACTGAATTCTAGGAATCCTAAAGAGCTTTGCAAAAGTGACTGGAGAAGGGGGGACTATTTTAAGACCCTGTAGTGTTGTCATGAGACTGTAGAGCTAAGACCGGGACCGGGTTTGTCTTTCGACAAGGTGCGTTTCCCAGCACCCATGACTCTTTACAAAGGAAATTCCTTTTCACCCAAATGGGTGTTTCAAACACTGTTTCTAATGGTGCACGCTATCTGATTGCTTTTGGGCTAACATCCCACCCTGTCTGCTATTTAAAACTTTGATCTTTACCCATGACATGCGTCTTATGCTTCACTGAATGGCAACTTCTTAGAGAATCTCTTCTTATAGAACCTGAGGTGCTGCTTCTAGGATCCAGTCTACCCCATCTGTGTTTCATCATTTACCTGGTTTCCCTAAAACCCTCATGCTCTTCTTTGCCCCTTCCTTCCCATCTGTGGAAAAAGAATTGGCCATGTCTGAGTGGCACCAAACGGATCGAGTCAGGGAATAAGAAATGTCAGTCACAATAAATACATAAAATCTCTAAAAAAAAAAAAAATACATCAGCCACCCAGGTCGTATATCTGGCACTGGGAAATTAAAACAAAGGGGTGATTCGATATCTTTTTTTTCCCTTATTTTTCTTTTTTGTTGTTGTTATTAAACGTTTATTTTTCCCTTGCTCTCCTGCTGTGTAGATAGTTGTTTTCTGGACAAAAATAAATCACCTGTTACTTGATCTTCTTTGCCATTTTTGAGAGAGACTGTTGATTGAATTTGTCTTTATAAGACAAATTGTTTTCAGAAGAGAGGTTAGCTCTCGCAGGGGGGTTGCTAAACAATGCAGTGGCAACTGGCCCTACTTTTTTTTTTTAAGATTTTATTTATTTATTTGAGAGAGCGGGTGATAGAGCATGAGAGGGGGTGGGGAGGGGCAGAGGAAGAGGCAGAGGGAGAAGCAGACTCCCCACTGAGCAGGGAGCCCCACGCGGGGCTCGATCCCAGGGCCCGGGGATCATGACCCGAGCCGAAGGCAGACACTTAACCGACTGAGCCACCCAGGCACCCTGGCCCTACATTTTTTATATTGCTTTCCTGAGGCTCAGCTCCCATATGAGTTGTTTTAATGTACAATGTTTTGATCCGTCATGATTAGGAGCTCATTTCTCTCTTATTCTAAAGGGCATGTGGGGTTGTTTAGGAAGAAGTGACCACGGACTCAGGCAGAGGCATCTTTTATTATAGGAGTCGATGCTTCTACCCCTGGAATCCCACGTGGCAGACCTCAGAAGCCTCCACAGTGGTGGGGCATATTGTTTCTGGAAACACTTCCTCCTCTAGTTCTCCCAGCACAAGTGAGTCTTCATTTGGAAAATGATGAATATATTAGTGTAAATGCCCTTGTGGGCCCACAGACTCTCTTGTGAACTTTGTTGTTGATCATGCAGGTTTAGCGAGGCATCATTTACCAATAGTATACTTCGTCCTTTTTATGTATACAGTTCCAATAGTTTTGAGAAACAGATATAGTCATGTAACTACCACCACAGTCAAGATATAGAATATTCGTATCGCTTCAAAAAGTTGCCCACTGCCTCCCACGAATCCCCAGTTCCTGACAACCACTGATCTGTGTCCCTATAGTTTGGCCTTTTACAGAATGCCACATAAATGGAATCTTAACAGTACATCGTCTTTTGTCTCTCGCTGTTTTTACTCCCCATAATGCTTTTGAGTTTGTTCATGTTGTTGACTGGATCGGTGCTTTGTTCTTTTTTATAGTACTGATCACAGTATGCACCACAGATTGTTTACACATTTCCTTGTTGATGGAGCATTTGGGTTGTTTCGAGTTTGGGGCAATGATGGACGGTGCCCCTATAAACGTTCCCCGTACAGAGGCTTATGTGGGCGTGTGTTTCCATTTTTCCTGTTGTCTTAGTTTGGGCCTTAGTAACAAAGTGCCATGGACGGAGTGGCTTATAAACAGCAGAAATTTATATCTCATAGGTCTGGAGGCAGGAAGACCAAGATCAGGGTGCCAGGCATAGTCAGGTTCTGGTGGCGGGCCTCTTGCAGGTCGGGGGAGGGCTGTCTTCTTGTTGTAGTCCCAGAAAGAGGGCACGAGAATGCTCGTTTTGGCAGCTCACACACTAAAACTGGATCACTACCGAGAAAATTAGCATGGTCCATGAGCAAGGATGACATGCCAGTTTGTGAAGTGGGCCATATTAAAAAAAAAAAAAAAAGGGTGAGGGGCGCCTGGGTGGCTCAGTCGGTTAAGTGTCTGCCTCAGCTCAGACACTGGGATGGAGCCCTGAGTCGGGCTCTCTACTCGGTGGTGAGTCTGCTTCTCCCTCTCCCTCTGAATAAATAAATAAATAA